TTCATCATAAACCAAGGTTTTTAATTTAGTAAATACCAACTCAATTAGGATATTGTTGATATTATTATTCATTAATAAGCACCAACCTTGTTTTAAGTTAAATCTACAATTTGATTCTTCTACTATTGTATAAACTTTTGAATTAATTTTTGAATTAAAAAATCCCTGATATGGTTTCTAAAATTTTTAAATTTAATTTTAAGTTGGTCTCTTTATTAAAAAATAACTAATGGGTATATTACTGAATGACGGAAGGCCATTACTTGATAACAAAAGGTTGTTACTTGATGGTCACATGTCACATTAGAAATAAGATACATTAGTTATTTTTTAATAGATTAATTAATTTAAAGTTAAATTTAGAAATTCTAAATATCAAATCAAGAATTTTTTTAATTTAATACTAATTTAGAAATCTCTATAATATTTGAGAGATCAAATTAAGGGTTTAACATTTGTTTTATTGGGGAATTGCTATGTATGTTCTTGAAAAAGAAATCTTTGTTTTTACGTATGTGTCGAGATTCTTAACAATTCTTAACAAGTTGACACCTAAATGTATCTCTTACAAGTTACAACAGTTTACTTATGTTCTGAAAAACACTTATCGAAATATATTTAACTGAAATCATCACCAATATCGGAGAATCTATATATTGTTACTGCCGTCAACTTGACAAAAAATAAGCTAAGAAAACAAACAACATTGCTCCCAATTCAAGTTAACCCCCTTAATCATATATAAATACAAGTACATGGTACCGAAAAATTAGTGACAAAAAATCCGGCCTCCCAGAGCAATCGGGCACCTAATTAGGTGCGTTTGTCATGAAATTAATATTTTTTAATATTTTGTAAGGTTATTTTGATATTTATGCACTTTAAAATTATACGTTTTTTATTTTTAATAGATTTAATTTAATTTTTTTATTTTTAAGTATGAATTTTAAATAAAACTTTAAGGATTTATATGAAAAATAATTAATTTTTTTAATATAAAATTCTCGTTGAGTACTTTTATTTAATAAAAATAAAAACACTGATACATATACCATCTTCCATTACACATTCCATTACACTCTCAATACTTTCCGTTAACTCTAAAGGCACCCAGCCCAGCCTTTCTTATTCACCATCCTCACCAGATCCATCTTCCTCCTCACCTTCATCCTTATCCTAATCATCTGTAACCTCATCTTCCTCCTCAACAGCATGGGTTCCTTCGAACCCACCTCCAACAGATCTGCTTTCGCCACCATCGCCCTGCAGCACCATGTTCCTTGCTTCCACCAGATCTACTTTTGGGTTTGATGCTTCTCTCTCCACTGTTTCAATTGATGATTGCTCTGTCTTTGCTCTCCTCCTACACAATCTTCTTCCTTAGAGTGTCTTATTGTCCGACAACCAACGATGGACCATTTGAGAAAAAAGGGGAACGATTGGAGATGTCTGAGAATTGATTGGAACTGCAGAGATAAGAAAGAAGATAGAAAAAGAAAGGACTGGGTTTGGTGCGTTTGAGAGTTAACGGAAAATTAACGAAAAGTAAAGAGTGTAATGGAGGGTGTAACAGTGAAGGATATACATAGCATTATCCAATAAAAAATTTTTATTTATCATTTATATAATATGTCAAATTAAATTTATTAAAAGTAAATGAAGAGAGTAATAAATAAAGAATAAAAATAATATTTTTAGTTTTCATTTTTTTAACACAATTTCTAACCTATAAATTTTTTTTCCCACCATCTTTTCTATCCGATAGCCACTTAATAACTTTTTTTGCTTTTCCAAAAAAAAAAAAAAACTTAATAACTTTTTCTATGTTAATTTCTTAACAAGTATAAAAAGTTAATTATTTAACAAAATTTCATTACAAAACTTACCATTTTTTTATACTTGCAATTTTTATCCCTAATAGGAGTCATTATGCAATAAAATAGTCCATTATGCAATTTTTTTTTAAATTTTAAGTTGCATAATATGAATTAATCATTTTTATTTCTTAATGCACCGCATTTGGATATCATAAAACTCAAATTTAAGATTTTTTATTTTCACCAAAAAAATTCCCACTAAATTATTTGAGTGGTTAATAAAACTTACTAATTTTTCATATGATACTTATTTTTAACTACTTTTCTAATAAAATTGGTATTTAATCAAATAGCCCTATAAGTGTTCCGATCAACTGCTTTGCCATGGGCTTGACTTTCCTTTCCCTTCCGCCAACCTCAAAAATGTTGTCTCAACAAAAATTCGTCAAATTTTGGGACATATATTAGTTCTATACTAACATTTTGTTTTATTATTATTATTATTATTTTGAGTTAAAGGCTGTTGTAGCAGCACTCTCTTAAGATTGAGAACCAAAAGTACATAGTTTTGTTAATGATTGATAATAATTTTAATTTTTAAATATGTTAACATTTTTTTTTTTATGAATCAAAATTTCATTGTTAAAAGTACGTAGTACTCATCAATGACTTATTGGTTTGAGTAGAAAGAATTCGATTTTCTTTAAATAAAATTTTGAATTCAAGTTTCGTGAATAGAAAAATAAATATTAGGAGAGTTTCCCTTTTCATTTATAAGATCCAACGTAATTTAATTTTAAATTAGTCAAACTTAATATAATTACTAGGTATCGAGAGATTAATACGAAAAAAAAAAATTACATATTACTCCAACCCATAAATGTACGATGTGACAACCTTAGAATACAACACAAAATTTTAAATGTGTTAACATGACTTCTACACTTATCACCAATAGCATAAAAATTGAGGCATTGAAAAATAAATTACGAAAATTATATGCCACCTAACCAATGACTTATAAAGAAAGTACTAAAGAAGTATTAAATAGAGTTGCTAGCACTCCTATTGACAAAAATTACTTACAATGACCAAGTTATAGCTTGACAACGCCACTACTCTAAAATTATAATTATAGAATTTTTAGTCTTTTAATATCTTTAAATATATTTAATATTTATTTTAATTAATATTTTATATATTTTTAAAATAA